TATCCAGAACAAATCTTACAGTCTAGTAGAGGGAACTAGAAATAAATAGTTAAACAATTAATTAGACAAGAAAAATTACAATTATGATAACTTCTATGAATGCAAAAGCTTATTAGAAAATGACAAAGAATAATACTTTGGATATGATAGTCAGGGATGACCTCTTTGAATCTTCTCTCTCTCTGTTTTTTTTTTTTTTTTTTTTTTTTTTTTTTTGTTTTTTTTTGTTTTTTTTTTGGTGCCAGGGATCGAACTCTGGTTATTAAGCTTACAAGGCAGGCAGCAGAACCACTGAGCTAAATCCCCCTCCCAGGGATGACCTCTTTGAACAGCTAGTATTTGACCTGAGGTTTGAAAGAGGAGAGGAGCCATTCGGAATTGGGGAGGAGCTTCTCAAATGATAAAATATCAATGGTCTACATGTGAAATTAGCTTGTCCAGTCAAGGGGCAGAAAAGTCAATAGGCTAAAGCACAGAGTAAGAACAACAAAGAGGTGAGCAAGGGTGAAATTGTGGAAGGCCTTTTAGGCCATGATAAGAAATTTGTTTTATGGTAAATATTAATGGATGTACTAGAGGGTTTGAAGCAAAAGAATGACACAGTCTAAATTAGGATTTTAAAAGACCATTTCAACAGCTGTATGGAAAAGAGCCAGAAAAGGAACAGAAATGAAAAAAAGGAAGCAAGGTGCAATGACTCAAGTAAATGATATTTGAGAAAATTGCTGTTCTTTACTGCCAAGTATCTTGCCTGGGATAGGACAGCTCATGAGTTACAGGGACAACACTCAAACTTGAGTCTTCATGAGTCAAGGTCTCGTGATCTTTCCACCACACCACAGAAGAAAGGCATGTGATGAATACCTGACTTCATAGCTGCTAGAAAGTTATCTTTGAATTCTTCAGACACACACAATTTCAGATGACTTCATATTAGCATAATTCAAGTTTCCTTAAAATGTCAAAGCATGTTATTTTTCTGATGATCACATGCTTTCCTTTTGAAATTCTTGCCGTCTCTCGTGACTGGGTGGGCACTCCTGTGAGAGCTCTGCTCTGGGGCAGTGGAGGAAACGCTTCTCAGAAAGTCAAAGACATCAGTTATTTGCCTATGTCTATTACTTCCTTACTGGGAGTCCTTGCAAAGGTAATTTAATATTTTTGTGACTTAATAATCACTGTTATCTTCAAGGTCATAAAACCTTGGTCTAATCTGTGACGGTCTAATCTGAAACATTGCAGAAATTAATTATCTGGCTTCTCTGAACATTGACTATTCCCTAAAGAATGAAGCTTTATAATTTCAGTATATTAATTGTTGATATTATCATCACAGGAGGAAATACTCTATGAATAAAATCCAGGTGCTGCTGAGTTGCAACCGAAAGTAATCCTAGAGTCCTGACAGCAGTTTCTCAAATAATTCCCCTCTTATCCATTTGGTAGCTAAAGCCAAATTGAAACCAGCAGACCAGACATGTTCTAAACTTGCTCAATTATCTGACTGATTCAAGCAAAGGGCTGTTTTTGCCTTGATTGTCTTCCTGGCTTTGGCTGAGTAGGAACAAGACGTATCTGCCTGGTCCAGATACCCACGGGCTTCTCAGGCCCACAGCTGTTCACTGCTCCTGGAGCTCTACTCATTCACTCCAGAGAGAGGCATGTCTGCCAAGCATCCAGCACTGGAAAGATGAGTTTACTACTCAGAAATGCTCTGACCTTTGCTAAATGAGCTAAGTCCAGCACCATCATGTAACTTTTTAAAGAGACTTCTTTTTCTTAGGAAAAACTAAGAAAGAAATGAATTGAAGATTTTCAAAGACATTATGTATTAACCCAAAAGAGCAAATCCCTGACTAAAATACAGTTTTAGAGCCTGTCATGGAAAAAAAAAAACCCAAACCACATGGGGGGTTGCTGAGAGGGATTATTTATGAGACAGTGCCTTTCCATGTAGTTCAGGCTGGTTTGAACTCACTATGTAGCTGACCTCAAACCCACGGTGATCCTCCTGCCTCATCCTCCAGAACACGTGTGCGCTTAACACCTGAAGAGTACAAATACCCCATTTTTAAAGGAAAGATGCAGAGTTTTCTGAGGGACGGAGTCGAGATGGTTCTGACTCCATCATCCTTACTCACACATTTAGGGTTAAGTATTATTCACTGAATATTTTCAACTACTTCCTGTCTCATGCTGCATCTGCTAGCATCTCACTTTTCTTGAAATATATTTCTTAATTTGTACTTTTGTATTGCTGCTATGTTTCCAATGGGATTTCTTCCTGATCTCATCTTTGGAATGTCTTCTCCCTCTCTTTGAAGCCATCCCTAATCACCCCAAAATAAAGAGTAGCTCTCTGTTTTGTCTTCACAGCATTTAATTCATGCCTCTATTCCAGTAATTACTACTGATTTATACTTAATTTGTTCAAATGGGCTTTTTCAACAGACTGAGCTTTTAAAGTATAAGAACTAGTACTTACCCATTTTTATATTACAAGCAGTGCATGAAAACTATACAGTCCATGGTGATTTTTAATATCCTGCCTCTGGAAATCAGCTATTCAGAAAAAAATTTTTTTTTATTTTTTTGAGACAAGGTCTCACTGTGTAGCCCAGGCTGGCCTCGAACTTGCAGTGATCCTCTTGCCTCAGCCACCTGGAGTGCTTAAATTACAGGCATGCACCATCACATCTAGCTCAGCAGTTATTAATTAAATAGTTGATTATGGTTTGGTAAAAATGAAGCAAATTCTATTCTGGTCCTCTCACAGTCAAAAGTGAGGTACCTCAGAGAAAATCATGCAATCCCTTCTTTGCCAGACACAATGCCAGCCACGAGAGTGCAAAGGTACACAAGAAACGTTTACTTGAGGGCCTCACAAACAAGTGAGATAAGTAAATAAAGATTTTGATCCAGATGATTGTATCCAATGATAAGAGTATTGTACGCACAGGACTTTTTGGAGCAAAGGATTACACAGAGACCAGTGAGTCTTTCAAATTTGATGTCTACTTGACATTATTCAGAGTGTTAGACAGCTTTCCACAACAAATACCTGGGACAATCAATTTACGAAGAGAAGCAGTTGTTTGGGGTTCAGTTTCAGAGGTCTCAGCCCATGATCAGTTGGATGCATTGCTTTTGGGCCTGTACTGAGGCAGCACATCACAGCAGGAGCATCCACAGAGCAAAAGGCATTCGTCTCATGGCCAGAGATCAAAAGAAAAAGAAAAAGAAAAGT